GGATTCTGGGATGCAAAAGTGACTGTAGCAATCCCTTAACAAAGGAGAAACATTGGAGAGGACAGTGCTATGTTGTGATCTGCAGTGTCCAGAATAGTGACTGTGAAGAAATGAAGAGCGAACATGGCCTTTTAAGATGGAAAGATTGTGATCTCTCTGTCTCTGTCTCTGTCTCTGTCTCTCTGTCTCTGTCTCTGTCTCTGTCTCTCTCTCTCTCTCTCACACACACACACACACACACACACGCACACACACACACACACGGGGTGGGTGGGGGGGATGCTATTGAGAGATTGATTTGTGGCGTATCAAATAGTAGATATAGAGTGAAAAATTAAAATATAGAAAGGAAGCAGAACCCCCTGTAGAGTGAGACCCTTAGGACAGCTTGTGCATTTGTTTCCGGGTTTAGCGGAGTCAGGGTCTGCACAGCTGTGTGCTGTCTCCTGGCAGAACGAGGTGCTTTGTGTTTCCCTGGCAGGCACGCCCTTGTCAAGAGCTTGTTGGAACAGGAACACGGGCAGCTCACTGAGCCCTGCTGACCATTATCTTCACATTCAAGTCTGCAGCGTGGAAGCGGCTCTCTGTTTTCTCGCTTAGAGAACCCTCCTGATAAGAGAAAATGCTGACAGCTGTGTCTTTCTTCACCCTCACCGAGGAAACATTTTCTTCCCTCTTGTCAATCTTTCAAGTGCTGGGAAGAACAAAGGAAAGGGATATGGCTTCAGAGGCTAGCCCAGTTTCCAATGCGCATCTAACAACCTGTAATTTCTAGAGGGTCTACGCTTCACATGCGCACGTGTGAGCAATTGCTAACCATACCAAGATGAGCAGCACTGTCCATCCCTAAGCAACTGAGCACATTCTCATTTAAAAACCAATCTATTGAAAGGGCTCTAAGAAGGGTAAATATAAAGTAATATGGTTACTTACATGTATTGAGCATGGCTCACTCTATAGGTTCTGAAATTAGACAGATTGGAGTCTACACAGTCACTCCAGCACTGTCCCCCATTGCATGGGCGGCCATAGTGTATTTCAAGCTCTCTATATGCCTATTTGTGGCACTTTTCTTGAGGCACTGTTAGGATGACTAAAGGATGTGTCGCACACCCTGTGTCCAGTACAGTGCCTGGCTCCTTCATTTCTACCTGTAATGTCAGCTTTCTTCTGTTTCTTCAGACTGAGCTGTGTTCCCTGGAAGCCATACTCATGTCTCTCCCAAGCCTGCCCATATGTAACAAGTGCCCATGAAGACAACTTATTCAAATATGTAGTAATTATAATATAAAGAGACCCAACTCATGGATATGGTAATACAGTGATGATGGGTTTTGAAAAGCCAGTTTCCCCAATTTACAAGTTCAAGTGGTTCTTTCTCTGCTTAAAGTGTGATCACACAGAAGATATGCAGATAGAAGCTATAGACTGGTGGACAATAGACTGCCTTTCTCATTCCAGGAACATGAAAAGGTTATACTTCTCCATCCCATGGAAGTTAGATAAACTCTTTGATTCATTTTTGGCCAATGATATGTAATCAGAAGTGACTGTCAACTTCAGAAGGCATTTTTAAAAGATTGATGCATTCACTACCACCACGGCCATGGAATACACTGGTGAGGTGAGGGCTGTGCCAGCCTAGGCTTATGAGATATTATAAGTAGCAGGACCCCACTGTTAATTCACATTAAAAAAACATAGACTGGGTGGGAAAGTGACTTCTGTTGAGCTGCACTGCATGGATTTTACAGCCCTTTGCTTTTGGTCTGCCTAGACTAATGCAGGAAATTCTGCACACATCCCCCATTCTGCTTTTGCTGATAACACTTCGATGATTCTTCTTGTGCTATTTCTTTTAGGGAAGCATATGACAGCCACAGTCCTGGTGTAGAATGATGCTTGCTCTCTGCCCCATGACCGTATTGCCAGGCTACCTCCTCAGTTTTATTCGGTAGACTTGACCCTGACAGCATCTTCTGCAACGAAGAAATGAAACACCATTGGCTCATTGGACAGCCTGTGCCCTTCAATCTCAATTGTAAAAGTGGTGATGGGGGTGGGAGGCAGCTTTTCCTGGGTGTAAGCAACAGGAAAGCACATTGTCTTCAGGAAAGTTTTAAAACAGTAGAATCAACCTGGACACGGTTTCTTTATCACAAATCGCAAATCCATAATTATAAACAATGTGAGGAATGAAACACTCGATCCCTCTCCACTAGCACTTTCCCTTCTCTGAAGTTACCAGGCAGGGTGGTGGGGGGATTTAAAAATGTTTGAAAACAGAAATGAGAAGTGGGATGTCATTCCCACTGTGGTGATGGCATTTATTCGGAATGTGCCCCAAAGAAAAAATCATTTTAATTTATGATTGCTCTCTGTACATTAATTTGGATGATACTAGCTTATGAACGTTTCTATAGTTACATGCACTCGTTCCAATTCTTCTCTCTAGAGTATACAAGATCCGTAAGGGCAAGGCTGGGCCTCCTTCACTCTTGGGTATTCTTGGAGTCTGACTATTATTTAATATATGTAAAATTAGGCCCCCCGTGCTGGCTTTCTGCCACTGTAACAAAAATTGGGAGATGATCCACTTATAAGGATGGCTCATGATTTCAGAAATTTCAGTCCATGGTTACTTAGTTTTGTTGCTATGGGCCTATTTTCACATGGTACATCATGGGAGAAGCTTACAGTAGGCTGTTCTCCTAATGATGGTCAGGAAGCCACTAGATAGTGGTCTTTCAGGATCTCCTTCAAGGGCACTCCTTCAATGAACTAAGAGTGCCTCGGGGGGGCAGCAAATGTCACTTGGGGGTCCTTTAAGATACAAACTAGAGGATGTCCAATATACATGTTGGGTGACATGAACTTGAACTAGGGTACCAGTAGAACGAGTTTCTCTTTGTAGCAGTCAGGTGGAAATCAGGCTAGTGGTCCTTCCTGTGGTCGATGCTAAGAAACCTGGGGTACCTCTTTTATGGGGAGAGAGATGTGTTCTAGCTGATTTTGCTGACAAAGATCTGAGTCTTTTATGTGTGGTACTCCACCCATGCCCAGCAGTGTTCATATAGGTTGAGCTGAACTGCCTCCTCCTATGTTCATACAGATGCTCTTCTGTGAATATCACTGTTCGTTTCATGCATTCATATATTTTATTATCAACATGAAATAAAGACAAAGCAGGATGGAAAGGGAAAGGCTGCATTGTCCCAGTTGCTGCAGTCCTAAGCAAGAGTCCTGGGGAAGGCAGGATTCTGTAGAAGACAGATGGGAGACGGAGTTGAAGGGCAGTTGGGATGTTGCCTGTGACTCCATACTTCAGCTTGGGAAGACACAAATAACTATGACACTTACAAAATAATGGTCAGGACTGGATCTCAATGCTAAGTAATTATGGAGTGTTTCCTGCTACTGGATCATGATGATCTTAGCTTTGGGGGAAAATCCTCCTTAATTCTGATTGTTTTATGGGTAAGTAATGGTAGTGGGGGCTAGCAGGCAAAGAGAAAACTGGATCAGAAAAGTCTTTTTATTTTTCTTTGTTATTGCTTTATTTCCATCACTCTACTATCCTGTTTTCACATTTTCCACCCAAGATTGAAGGCAAATGTGTTAGCTCTGGCCTACTTAGAGTCTACCCATCTTCCAAAAGACCTACCAGATAGAGCATGGTGTTGGGTAGCCTTGCTGTTAGAACAGAGCTCAGAGCCGAGTGAATGTCATCTGGAGCTTTCAAGATATGACTCAGTTTCTGAGACCATGAGAATCACTGCTCAGAGATTTTCATGACTGCCCCCCATCCCAGCCCATTTTAAACTTCTGGGATAAATGGTTGAAAATAGAGAAGTTGGAAAATACCAGCATTTTTCTGACACAAATGCTACAATCTGGGTTTGCCAGTAAGAGTTTAATTGGTGGGTGTGGGAAAACTTCTGCACTTAATTGATAAGACATTCAAGTTAATGAAGATCTCAGATGTTTGGCTTTGGTTTTGCTCACTGAAAGAACTCATAGTCTTATTGTGTTGTTATTTATTCTTTGATAGTGTCACACATATAAATATTGTATTTTGTTCATATTCACCTCCCATTACCCCCACCTACCTGCTTGCGTCCTTTCTAATCAGTCCTATTTTGATGTTGTGTGTGTGTTTAGTTTACTGAGTTTAGTTATGGTGGCTTTGCAGTAGAATGTAGTTTTTCACTGACCATTTCTTCAAGCAGCAACTTTGTGGCCAGGCTGATTTTGAATAAAGCAATTCTAGCTGTAATAATACCTTATTTAAAAAAATGATGTTCTTGTCCTTGGAAACTTTATCCACACGTGCTTCTTGGGTTTCTAAGAGTGCGCTTTAATGGATGCATGGATTCAGAACCCATTGCCGTGTGTGCCCTAGGGAACTGTCCTACCAAAGGGCTAGAGCTAAAGTCATCATTTTCCAGGTGGGGAGGGCTTACAATATGGCCTCTTTTGCTTCCGTCCTTTTGCCATTTAGACAATAGAAAGACAACTTAAGCATGACCTTGGGGAACTCACTTCACAGTTTTAAACTCATAAACTATGAAATGCCACTGTTGAACTCCGTCACAACTCAGGTCCCTGGCAACAAATCATGTCTTTGATTTGGGTGCAGACAGGGAGGCAGCTGCCATGGGCAGAGCTGGGCATGTACCCCCATGCGGTGCTTTCTTATTGTTTGCCTTACACTTTCCTTCGTGCCTGAAAAATACCATTTCATCATAGGCAGGCCTTAAAATAGCTTTTATTTTCCCTTCTAAAGTGAGCTTTTGGATTTTGCAAAAATATTGTTCTGGATAAAATGGAACAATTAGTGAATTATTGAAACACTATTTTTAGGTCTGTGTGTTATTCCACAAACCCATTCCCTTTGTTTCTTCTTCGTCAAAGGATTTGGGTAGCTTGTTTCTTTGGCTTTCATCAAATACCTTTTTTTCCTTTCCTGTTCAAAATAAACCCTGTTTCCTTTTTCCAAGCCAGATGAAAGCTAGAATACTCTGCTCTTTCTGATACCAACCCCGTGATGGTGGGACATGGGTCCACGTCACTCACGACTGTCAGTTTCAAAGGATAATTTGGAGACTGTCGCATGAAAAGCAAGCTTCAATTTTCCTCTTCAGATCTTTCCAATAGACACCGCCTGTGTATTATTTCCGAAAATCCATTCAAAAGTAGACTGCTTCCTTCCCTGACTGGGCACCAAATCAAGAAACTGCGGATAATGCATTGTTGTGTTTATTATGCATCATTGCGCTGCTGACACTGGAGTCATCAAATATTGGGGAATTTACAACCAGGGAGGTCCAGTCATCATGCCTGAAGTGAAGGAAAAAATATTCTGTTATTCATCCCCAGCTCTGGTACTTTATGGTCAGACAGTAAGCAATATACTTATCAAAGTCAAAATAACCTTCACTTTACAAAGCACACTCGTCCTTAATTGGCAGACTGAAAATGCATAAGCCATCTCTTTCTTGATCATGAGATGGAGGCTGAATTGATATAACTTTGAGTATTTTGAAATTTACTGAGAGTGATATGGGTAACTATGTTTTAATTCACAGATTATATATGTGTTACAACGAAGAAATGGAAAAAGCCATTGGAGTTGAAAACATCATACAGTCTAAATATGTACATACTGCTTATGAACTATCTAGGATATGTTTTTATTTATCTTCTTATTCTCCTATTTTAGTTTTTTGAGACAAAGTTTTTCTGTACAGCCCTGGCTATCCTGGAACTCGCTTTGTAGATCAGGCTGGCATGGAACTCAGAGATCCACCTACTTCTGCCTCCCAAGTGTTATTTCTTTTGAATCAAGGTTAAGGCTAGCAGTCTTATTTAAGCACTCCAGTGAATAGCTACAGAGGTTTGGATCCTGGAACCCAAAAGATGTGTAAATCCCTGGCTATCCTGTGAAAGGGACATATGTCTCTATCTACTTCTCTGTAAAATGCTAATAAATGGTAATGAATAGAAATGTTTTAAGGATTAAATGAGGTTCTACACATAGAAAGACTCTGAATACAATGCCTATTCCATTTGGAGACCTGGAGAAATGTTACCATTGTTGTGATTACTCCTAGTTGTCCTCTTCTTTTTTTTTTTTTTTTTTTTTTGGTTTTTCGAGACAGGGTTTCTCTGTGTAGCTTTGTGCCTTTCCTGGTACTCGCTTTGGAGACCAGGCTGGCCTCGAACTCACAGAGATCCACCTGGCTCTGCCTCCCGAGTGCTGGGATTAAAGGCGTGCGCCACCACCGCCCGGCATTGTCCTCTTCTTATTGCTCAAATAACAGTGATCCCTAGGTTACCCATCCATAAGGCAAGAGGGAAATGATGTCCCCAGCTGGGAAATATATTATCTTTTCTCTCATAGAACTGGGTGTTAAATGAGTGGTATATAGTTTTGGTATTTTCAGTTGACTTCAAAAGCAGGCAAAAGCAATGAAGATAATTCTTGATAATGCAGTTGGTCACTATGCTTACCTCAAGCTGGACTTTATGAAAGACACAGGATGCATCTTGCATCCTTTATACAGTGGCCAGTTGAGCATGTAAAGCTAGGAGGGCTGCTAATTTGCAAATAGGCTAGCTCTCCTATGTGGTCAGTAAGACCGCTGGCTGCACATTTCCATGGGGACAATTGCAAAGGACAGAATGGCCAGAAGATGCTCTCCACCTCCACTGTGGGAAAAGCGAGTGGAGTCCATGATTGGGCCATTTGTCCTAGCTGAGACCTGCATCGACAAGTATCTTCAGAGCAGTAAAATCCAAGTGTCAGCACTGGCTTTTCACTGCCGTCAGAGGTCCTCTGTGAGGAGAGTGGTTGAGTTTTTAAGTGGTGCGTTAGAGCAAGGGTCTTGAGGAAGACTCAATTAGCAAGTGGAATAACTGACCATGTTAGTATCTGAACAACTGGCCTGGCAGGCTTCTTGTTTTGGCTATTGTTCTATGTGGGGGTCACTGGGAGATTAAGTTTATGCCCATGAACTGTTAATGGGCTGTCATTTCAGGCAAATAGCTTATTCAAACATCATAAGACAAGCAATGGAGGACTTTATTTGAAATGAAAATTACAGTTTGAGGACTTTTTCAGAAAATCTTAATTTTCTTCTCTTTCTTCAAACTAAGTAGCATTAGAAGTGGAAAGGTGAAACTGTTGAATCTATTCATGAATCTATCTCTCTTACACATAACACACACACACACACACACACACACACACACACACACACACACACACACACACACCCTGACCCCCTCAAAGCAAAAGTCTTACCCAGATCCCTCAAGAAGTCCCATTCAGTCTCCATGTGTGCTGCATAAAACTTTCCTGGCTTTCACAGGAGCCACTGCTGTGAGAGGGGGAACCATAATGCACATTAATAGGTACAGAAAACCTTCATGGGAAGGACCATAAACCCCAGGAAACCATAAACTTTAGCACTGGATTCTAGACTGAAAGTCTCCGGAAGCTCAAAGCCACAGACAAGTGTGTGTGGGTGGGGTGGGCTGGGGGTAAGGCAGAAGAGACTGCGTAAATGAAATTTTTGGTCCCAAATTGCCACCTACAGCAGGTCTGTTGTCTAATGGGCTTCAACATCTCTAGCTCTGCCTTCTCTTCTTAGGCTGTTTATTGCTTTCTGAGTGTGAGCTTGCAATGGATGGAAAATGCAAAATTTAATACAACAGGATAAAATAAGAAAAGTATTTATGGTAAGTTTTAAAGAGATGTCCTCAACTTGCATTTTGATCTGAACAAGAAACAGACCACCAAATTAATATGTTTACCTCCCGAGGTCCAGCACTCCCCAGCAGAACACTTCTGTAGACAGCTGTTTCACTGGGCCGAAGAAGGAGGCTAGAACTGTTCTGCCTTGCCCATAGGCCTGAAACTTAAGAGTGATTCTGTGTGTGGCTCGGCTTTCCAAATGGCTTCCTGCTTCCTGAGGCTGCAGTCTCAAAAGGGCCTGTGTTTTCACAGTCCTCACAAAGCTGTGAAGGGCTGCTTGTTACCAGATTTACAGCTCTGGTCTATATCCATCCACACTAGGCCCCACCAGCATCTGTGCCAAACTCCATGGGCGTCACCTTGGCCTCCCACGGTGTGGCTAGAGCACATGCATCCTGAGAAAACTCAGTGATGCTGTCTTTGGTGTATTTTTGTCTTTAAATCCTCCATGTTCCTCTGACTATTCCCTAGGCCTCTAGCTAGTACCATATTGCTTGTGTGCAGGCCATGTCTCCCAAGGGAGAGCTGAACCTTCCTGCCTCCAAGATCTTAAGAGACTTTATGTGTTGCACAGGGATTGACTCTAGCTGGGATAATGCTCTTCTGTGATCTACACCCAAGACCAGGGCCAGCCCTATAGCATACAGATGTATCTGCTTATCTTGACAGTATTTGTGAGTGCTCTGCTCTGACTATGGCAGCATGTTCATTTTGCTTCAACTTTAACTGAGTCTCAGTCACTTTTTGTGGAATTAACTGAACTTCTCATGCTTGGTAGTACTAGGGCTGAAGCCATCTTCCATGGAGAGCAGAGAATTCCATTAATAAGGCGTTGACAAGTATTGGATGACCCCTTGGAGACCAGAGAGAAAAGTGTCACACATGTCAGTCTTACTCCCATGGGCTAGTGTTCTGCTGATATTTTATCAATTATAAAATGTTAATGTGTATAATTCTTTAAGACAAGTAAGCTTGTATGAACCCGGGGTTGGGAGGGAAGAAACAGTGCAGGGCAGGTTGTCTCTGATTGCACATAGCCTTGGCTTGTACCCTCACCTACCTTCCCTAGCCTTCTTGCCTTAAGTTCCTCACCGAGAAGTGGAGAAAGTACTCACTGAGAAGAAGAGCGTGGAAAGGAAAAGAGTTTCCAAGACGGATCCTGGGTAGCAGACTGCAGACAGAATGCTTATCACTCATGAACATGATAGAGCTTCTCCTTTCCTTTTCCTTAGATTGCTGACTCTATGCCAGGAATTATTCCCAGAGGACACTGAACTGCCATCATTCATCACATCAGCATCATTATCAAAGGTTTTCATCAGCTCATGCATGCTCTGTACTCCAAGAGAGTTAACTTGAGTCAATAGTGGCCTTCCTGAACTCTGTGTGAAAGACAAGATGTACAGATGCACAGGCTTCTTCTTGATGTTTGCAAAAGAGCAGTTTCATGTTGTTATGCCAACACCAAGTTAACAGAATGTGTCTAAATTACAATAGATACAATTCCTCGTAGGGAAATTTGTTGGTACTTAGTTATGTTATTTTGTTCACTATAGATCATAGCTTGCTACTTTCTGCTCTAATGTACTTACCCACTTAAGTTTCAAAATAGAAATGAAATCCTGACGCATCATCCTTTTTCAAGAAAGATGTATGTGCATCTTTTATTACATCAGACAGGTTAATATGCTTTTGCATGTGTAGCAGGAAACTTTATTAGCATGATGAAATAAATGCATGTAGGGCAATATCATCTTAACCAGTTGCTACCAGTAGATGAAGTCTGATGTGGTAATTGCTAACTGAATGTTGGATCATGGTTATTACTGAGGTAAAATCATTTACCATGGGATGATCAGGGATGCAATATTGTGAATGATAAAAGAGTCACTTCTATTATCTAGTTTTAATTAGCTAAAGATGTGTCCTGGGTATTTTAGAAGGCTCATCTTATCAATATTTTTATTTAGAAATGATTTACAATATTGTTATAGACTCTGCTAATGTTTCTCTCATTAAAGGTTTTATCATTGTTCCCACTGTAAATTCTGTGATTGAAGCTTTAAAGATGCATTAAATATTTATTTCAAATCCCTGTATTTGTATAAATATGTATACAGGTATGTGTGTGTTGTATTAAAATTTTTTTGTAAGACCTTAAACCCCAGAAGTTACTGTGTGTGGATGTGCTAGTATATGCTTTCTTTGCACCTATGTCAAAGTCCAGTTTCAGTCTCCCAAAAAGATATAGGTCAAGTGCTACTTAAGAAAAGGATTTCTTTTACCTATTGATTATGTATGCCTGAAAGTGGATGCTGGATACCCTAGAAATATCCATGAGCAAATCTGATGTACTACAGTTCTGACATTTAATCATTAGGTAGCCTCTGATGTTAATGCTCCAGTTGCTAGTCAGGTTTTCCGTGAATGTCAAAAGTGGTCCTAGTCAAGTTCCCATACTGCTCAGTTCCTGAGTGAGAGTGATTGGAAACATTCTTTTTTTTTTTTTTTTGAGAAAAGGGAGCTTCATGTCTTCTTGACAAATTTATTCAAGAAAACCTTGACAAATGACATCCCGTTTTTGGTCCCAGCATGTGCAACATGACATTTCCCAGGTAGAAATGGAGGGACTGGAGATGTTAGCTTAGCCACTCAGGAAGACTGGCCACTGGATCCAGGCTGTATAGTCCTTGGATATTTTTGATCTGCTGTGTACCTCTGTCTCACCAACTAATGGTTGGGGAATAAGTAATAAACTTTATGGTGGTTTCTGTTTTAAACTTGAAGGACCCATGAAATATACTCATTTTTCAAACTAGCACACAATTGCTGTGTGATGTTTGTGATACGTAAATTTGTACATATATTGTCTACTGGTGTGAATTACTTATTGTTATTGATGGTTTACAAGTCAGAAAAACAAAACCGAGTTGTGAGCCAGGAACTCGGTTTCTTTTCATCTTGCAGCCCTGTCCTCAGTGTGGAGTTTCAAATGTGTTTATGTTTCTACCCTGAGGTAAGTGAAGGCCTAGAGGGTACTCCAGTTCCTTAACAGCTTTGCTTCTCCTCATCCTCTGGAATGGTCCCTCTGGGTTCAGGATACCTTTTTTCTGTTGGGTACTTCTTTCTAAGCAATGGTTGTGTATTGAGGAAATACACGATGGTGGCAGAGCCTGTTCCTTTGCTATGTGACTTATCCCCAGTCTACATTCAAGACCCATAACAGAGTTTCTCTGGAGGTTAAAAAATTGAATAACTGTGTTCTATTCAGAAGACATAGTCTGGCAGTGACTTCATGTAGGTTGGCCTAGATAAATACCCCAGCCAAGCTAAAGGTGTGGTGTCCTTTAAAAGTCATAGTTAAAAATATTTGTTTGATCGTTATTTAGTGTGGATGAAGGAAATGTTTATTCTGAAAAATATAAAATCATTTATGTCCAAAATGTGAGTCTTAGTATATAGAATTTCCAAAGTAGATAGCTTATTAAAAGATAGTTTTCAGCTGTGAAGAAAAATGAAATCATGAAATTTGTAAGCAGATGGATGTAATTAGAAAAGACTGTATTGAATGGGGTAACCCAGCATCAGGAAGACAAACGTCCAATGTTCTCTTTCATTTGAGGCTCCCAGCTCCAGATCTTCAGATATGAGTAGATAACCTGTAGTAAGTGTAGAAACCTGGAAAGTAAAAAGAGTTATTTGGGGGAAGGGTCAATAGAGAGAGAAGTAGTAGGAAACAAGTGATTTGGAAGGGGAAATGGGAAAATAAAGGGGACCCTAATTAGGAAGGGGGAGCTAAATATACAAGAAAGAGGGTAACATAGCAACAGGATGTATGAAAAAGTCCTAAGAAACCACACTATTAACAATCTACCTAAGAATAGCTGCAATACATGTAAATTGGTATATAAAGATACGTATAGAGTTTAAATGAAAAATTTCCATCTGGGCTGACAATCCTCTCCCCAAGAGGCATAGACTATCTAACAGAACCAGGCATGAGAAGTCCTCTTTTGAGTTGTTAGTCAGGGTTTTCTGAGAGACTACCAAAACATTACAGGTTATTGTCATTGCTTTTTGTTGCTCCCAAGAGGTGGAGGGTAAGGCTCTACTGCTAAAGACACCATGCACTTCAGATGCAGGGCCCAGAGGCCCTGAGCTGGATCTGACCTGAAAGCCTCCTGTCTGAGGACTAGCTCTCGTGGTACCAAAAGAAGCCATGCAAGCTTCCAAAGGAAGGTAGCATCCAATCATCCTATTCAGCTATGATGCCTATGAACCACCACAACAACCTGTATGGTAACAGTGGCATGGATACCTTGGTGGTAACCAACAGTTCTCTAATTGGACATAAGACCAACTCAACAAGAGAGAAATCATCCTGGTTCTGGAAAGCTAGCCAACTCTCCAGGGCTAGTCAAGTAATGAATGTTGGAGGAGAGTCTACAACTGTCACTTTTTTGTAAATCAGCACAACCCCTAACTACCTCACACTCACAGACAGGAGTCGTCCTCATCCCTCATTAAAGAAATTCCTTCCTGTAACAGATGGAGACCATACAGAAGACTACAACTTATCAAAATACAGAGATGTGGAGCCAAGTCCCAACTGATACATCTATGACATAACTCCTGCACCTAATGCTCAGGGAAAGTCACAGAAGAGGAGGCAAAAAGATTGAGAAAGAGTAAGAGAAACAGGAAGTTTGCAGTGACATTATGTCTGCTAGAAATGTCAGAGATGCTATACCCATGAAGTCTCACCAACATGGCTGTCTAAATATAACCTGAACAGGTACCACACCAATGAACATGATAGCATGAAAGGGGTAAAGCTCATGGGGCCTCAAGTCTAGACAAAGAGCTATAGACAACTAAGAAATGGTGAGAGCAGGAGAAATAGCCTTCTTCAGGGAAGAGTACATTAGTAGGTTATCCAATACCAAATGGTTAGCACTGAAAACATATATACAAGTAACATTATACAGACTGAGAAGGTTGCAATTACATTTATATTCATATATTTGTATGCAGACATGCATATATATACATACATACATACATACATATGCATAGCTAATGAAAAAGTGACTCTGAACTTGAAAGGGAAGAAGCGGGGTATTTGGGAGAGTTTAGAGGGAAGAAAGGAACGAGGGAAATGATATAATTGGATTATAATCTCAAAAACTAAACAGTGATTTTTAGAAAAGAGGACTGGGCATATAGCTCAGTGGTAGAACACTTGTCTATCATGTGCAAGGTCTAAGGTTCAGTCCCCACCTACATACACATGTACACACACACACACACACACACACACACACACACACACACACACGTACCGAGAGAGAGAGAGAGAGAGAGAGAGAGAGAGAGAGAGAGAGAGAGAGAGAGAGACAGAGAGACAGAGAGAGAGAGAGAGAGAGAGAGACAGAGAGAGACAGAGACAGAGACAGAGACAGAGAGACAGAGACAGAGACAGAGACACAGGGAGATTTTAAAAAGGAATTCCAGAGTTACCCAGCAAATTTCTATCAGCTACTTTAGAAATAACTGCAACAATCAATATTAAAAGAAAGCAAAGTGATAGAATTACTCATGGCCCTCAAATTTTATATCTAGCTTAATTACTTTTTGCCTGGATTCAGAAGCATGCCATGAAACTTATTCTCCTTAATAAACTATTTTAAATGAAAACAAGATATATGTATGTGACACATGCAAGAAATATACAGTTCACTTACATACATATTTTCTGTCTATAAATAATCAAGTAAAAAAAATAAGCCATTTATCCCAAGATCAAAATTCCACATATCATTCAGTAGGAGTTTGAGCAGACTGTGGCTGCTATGTTAGTAGACTCTCAGGGGGTTGATCTGTCAGGCCTCAGAGATGGTGACTTTCTGTAGGATAAGGTGCAATTTTACATCACTGAGACCCCAGAGATAATGGATCCAAAGTAGTTGAGAAGAGATTTTCTTGCCACTTAAGGGCACTATCAATTTGAGCACAAGTGTTTCCATTCCAATTTTGTAGTTACTATAAAAACCACATTGAAAATCCAAAATAACTGTTGCCATCTTTCCAATTTGCTTCAATAGTATGTTAGTGTCAGGGTTGCCCACCAATTATCCCTGTTTGGCATTTTGTCACTTTTGCCAGATTATTCCACAGGTTTGCAACCGGGCAGAATTGATTTATGGCCTCTGGAGAGGTATATTGCTTCTAATACTGACAAAGATAATCAATGCCTGAAAGAACTATGGATCTGTCTCTATACAGCAAAGTGATGTTGGGAGGACTTTTTGAGGTCAGTGTTCTCTTAAAGGAATGAGGGGCCTGAAGCTGCTATGCGGACTAGAAACATTTTCTCAAGCAATGCTCCACGGTGGAGGATGCCTTAGAACCACTGGAGGAGCTTGTGGCAAGTACTGCCAGCAGCCCTCCTCCAGCCCTGCTACCTCAGGTTATCCTAGAATGAGACCTGGGCATTGATGTTTAATAGCTCTGTAGGTAATTTTCACAAACTCCCCTTTAGAAAAGATCCCTAGCTAATTCAGCTTGGATTGAGAATCAACAATCAAAAGTGATGGCCTCTTTGTAGTGTAGCTTAATAAGAGGATACTATTTTATTAGAAATGACCCATGATTTAATAGTCTGGTAGGCATCATGAGCAAACAGTTGCCCTCATAGTTTTATAGCAGACAGTCTGAATGCGATGGCTAAGTTTGCTACAACTCTGATGTTCTCCTCTCACCTCCAGAGATGACTCCTAAATTAATAGTTTACATTTGACATAACACTAAAGAAACGAAAGGCAAATAGACTCCAGCAATGGACAGAGCTCAATCACTTAAGGCATTTCTCCTCCATGACTGTGAGATCCAATGACTTTTAAGGGTGACTTCTGCTTATGCTAACCTGTTGCTTGTAGTATTTTAGTGTTTAATCATTCAGGGGAAGGCAAAGTTAGAGAGACCATGGCTTTGCCTCAGTTGTCCTAGATATTAACCCAGACACAGGAAGTCTGATTGCTTGCTTTTCTCCGTTCTGGGATTCTACTTTCCAAGTATGATGCTAGAGTATCCTGGGTATGACAATGTGGATATGGAATTGAAAGACTTGCCACCTAGCAACAACTTGAATCACAAGCAGCTGGAAATGTGATAGGTCAACAGTATCTCACAGCTCTTTTACCTACCACAGGCCATTTTTCCCCCACTGGCTACATCATTCTTAGTAACACAACATCCCTTTTAAACCCCTCCAAAATCTTCTCCATGGGCAATCTCTCTAGGCAAAATATACTCTCCTTGCTTACTAAGCTTATGAGTTATTTTTCACTATGGCTGTCTTTTCATTATAATTATATAATAAAGGCAGATGATTTTCTAAGTGTGGCTGTCTAGGCTCATAGAATCAGCATCATCTGGAATTTTGACATAATAATCACCATCATCATCAGCACCATCATCATTAATATTATTATTTACCAGTAGTCATAGTTTGGATGTGATTTGTCTCCCAGAGTTTCCTTTGCTGGAGGCCTTGTTTTCAACGTATAAATAGCAACATTTGAAGAGTCTAAGAAGAGAATCCTGGTGTGGGGATTGTCTGGCTATTGGGGCATTACACTTGAAAGAGCTTAATGCTCGTGTTGGAGTTGTTACAAAATGAGGCCAAACTATGTACCTTGTCCCTTATACCTGTAGCAAGTTCCATTTCTACTCATTTGTCACATTATGGCATTGTTAAGGTGGTTCTCATTAATCCAAGCAGATTGGGTTTGTGATCTTGGGCTTTCAGACTACAAAACTCTGAGTTAAAGAAGTCTATTTTCTTTGTAAATTCTCAGCCTCAGATAAGTTCAATCGCCTTCTGTTGCTGATGCAAAAGAAGGTAGGTTAATGTGGAAAATTGGTGCCAAGGAGTAGGATTGCTGCTCTAGTTGTGAATATTAGAAGTTAGAAGTGGCTTTGAAGTGGTAATGGGCAGACATTGGAAGAGTTTTGAAGAACAGGCTAGACAGTATTTTACTGAGCACAGAAATTTACGGGTAATCCTGATGAGCACTCAGAAGACAGGGGCAGCAAGAAACTAGTCTCAGATAGAAATGAGACCCTGCAGGAAACCAGAGCAAAGGCTAGACCTTTTCTTCCGTGGTAAAGAGCTCACAGCTGTATGCCCAGGCCCTTGAGACTGTGGAAGGCTGAGTTTAAAAGGAATGAACTGGGATGTGCATTTCTAAACAGCAAATTTTCTGCATGTAGTATTGTTATTATCAGCTACTTTATTGTAGTTTACAAAGTGACTCAGTAGCAAAAGAGAAGCAGAAAATGGGGAGATTTGGGAAAGTGACAGGTTGCTTAAAATGATGACAAGACCCTACATGTTTGGGACAGTATAGCACAGTCAGGTGGTTAAATAAAAGGATGGGATAAAGGCCTCCAGGACAACTCAGAAATCTTGGCAACTGCTCTCCTCTCATAGTCTAAGAGTCCTAAGCAGTCAATGTTTTCAGGATAGCACTTATTAGGTTCACGTGCCAGGGCTACCTCAGGTCACTGCTTGCTGCTTCCTGGAGAGATGCTCTGAAGTTTCTATAGCCACAGTTCAGTGCAGGCACAGGCATGACTGAGGCACGGATGGATAGAGGCAATGACAGGAAGTAGCA